TTTGGATAGGCCAAGACAAGGGTGTGTTGCTCCGATGATGATGCATTTTCCAGTCATGTAAGATGCCACCTGCAACAGATATAAAAAAACCTGTGGGTCAACTACATGGGCTTTCCTTAGAGAAAGGTTTGTTTGCGGTAATGATCGGATTTAATTCTAACCAGCCTGGTCACTAGGTAAACATAACCTACCGCAAATATTGACATACGACAATACGTCTGCCATGGACTGTCTATGGCGCAGATAAACAGTTAATTATAGTATTATATAAAAAAATGTCATTACCAGTGTTAAAAACAAGCACAGAGCCAGCAGTAGGGCCCATGTTATCCTACGTACACTTCATGTTCATGCTTTTTTCGGCTAATGCGTAAAATCTTGCGGCTAAAAGCGGATCAAAGCGACGTTAATGGGACTTACCGTTGTCGTAAAATACTCGCAGTCAAATAAAAAAACAATCCTGACAGTGTTATTATCTTAGGTGTTTTGCCGGGTGAGGTGGGGTGAGTGTAGCTTTGCCGTCACAGAGCTTCTGAATCACGACACCTGCAAACGGCAGGGAAGTCGGCTTCGTGTTACAGCTAGAGAAACCGGTAAGACTTGTCACTCAGGCAAATAGCTGGTAAAAATGTGCACATATTTTATCTGTCACTTAATACCAAAATAAACCTATACAAAATGACTTACATGGAAATATGTATGAATTACACGTTGAAATAGAGAAATAAGGCTGATGGCCGTGTTGTACCAATATCAGACTTACTTCACAGTAGATGGCGATAGGTCCATAAATCTAATCCAGTTGATGACCAAATCCTCTCCCCAGCACCGGTTCTTCAAGCCTTTTCCCACACAGTATTATGACAGATACTAATAAGAAAACTACCCCAACAACCTGAGTTTCTATGCTGAGTGTGTATTGTATTACTTGTTAAGACGTTAGACGTGGCCAAGCAGGTATGCAGAATACCTGCTCCAATTACAAACCTCTGTCCCTCCCATAAATCATTTCTTTAATGTTTCTCTTTTTTAAGTGGCAGAACATCACTAACAGTCCTAATAGACAGTGAACAAATACTCAATACTATGCAATACGCCACTACACAATATTACTACAATACTTTAAGTAGATGTTGTTCTTGCTGCAATTGAAAGAAAGGTCAGAGATCTACACTACAGGGGAACTCAGCGTCTGTCAGCCTCACACCACACAAGTTGGACCACTCTGCTGCAAAAATAGATGTCATTCTTATTTTTGCTTTATACTTTTACAGCATCTTTATTTGCCTTCATTTTATGTTCTCCCTTTTTCAAGCCACTGTAGGTCTATGTTTTGCAATATAACACCCCGCCCATATTAAATACACATAATGTAGCCTATTTACACTCCATTACCACACCCGTCTGTCTAATGCTTCCCTTTTTTTTGGCATGCCATAACTTCCGCCTACTTTTAAAGCGTCACCTGCAAGGTGAAAGGTGGTAGAATGTAACAAAGTACATTTACTCAACACATTTCCGGTATTTTTGAGGCAAATATTATAATTAATGTAAATATTCTATTTACATGGTACTTTTGTTTTGAAACTTTCATCATCTTTCCCCGTTAATACTTACTTTGAAAAACTTGGAAGCATAATTGTTTGTTTTAACATTGTGGCATTTCTATTTTAAATAATAATAATAATAATAACTTGGATTTCTATAGCGCCTTTCATGATACCCAAGGTCGCTTTACAAGGAAGAACAGGAGTATAAACAAACATAACAAAACAAAAGGCAGTCAGACGAACAGTTTAGACAGACAAAACAACAAATAGATTCGGGGCCAAAGTCCTTGGCAGACAGATGGGACTTGAGGGCCCTTTTGAAGGTGTCAAGTGTTTACATTCCCCCACTGATGATAACACACTCACTGCTCTATTCCATAGCCTCCATATGCTTTATTCCAATCCCCTTATGCCCTCACAGTGGAAAATAATGACACAAGATTCAGGTGTTAACCTGAGTATTTATTGTTGATGGTTTTTTAAGTTTTTTTTGGCGGGTACCTGTGTTTTTCTAAATGGATGCTGGAAACCCATCCATTAATTTTTGCATATAGGTCTTGCCTGTCAGTGGACATACGTCCACTTTGGGGATGGAAAAATCAGTACATCACAAAAACCATGCAGAAATAGTGAAAGGCACAATCACCATACTGTAGATATCAGATACACCACATTTTATGTCTTTATATTTCTTTTTTACGAGGGGATAGGTGTACTAATTAAGATGTAACATGGGCAAAAACCCCAAGGGTTTTTAAGCTGCCATTTCAGGGCATAACATAAAACATATGAAACTCCCCAGACATTCAACGCCTCTTATTTAAAACATCCTATTGGTGAACAACTGTTATGATAATATGGTAAAATACAAGCATATTCTATTGTATTTTTGAGGGAACATTTCATATTTTTGTTAAATATATAAATCTCCTGCCTCATTCTTTCCCTGTCCACATCATATGACCAGTCTCGCTCCCCATTGTTGACTGTCGCTCCTTAAACTCTGCCTTTCAATAATCACACACAACCTACTGAAAACACATTTCCTGTTTACATAATAAGGGAGAGAAAGGAAGAAATAAAATGATGGCAAAAACGTATATAGCGGAAAAGGCTGTGATGGTCATTACATTTTGTATTCACGCCCACACATTCATCTGTGATCTCTCATATTACCAGTTTTTTACTCTGTATGTACTTTATTACAGGGGCAGACATAATTAATTCAACAAAGATCTCTTTGTGTTTCTTTATGTCTCTGAGCATGTTGGACTCATCACCTCAGATCCATCTACTGCACCATTCAGCGTTGATCAACATGATAGAAAATCTTTAAACACAATAAAAGATACAATTCATAATTATATCATAAATTAACAAATATTAACATACTTTTAATAAAACAGACTTATATTGGCAGAAATTAATTTGTGATAGGTTATTTGAGATGGAAACATGTATTTTAAGATGGGTCAGGACATTTCAATTTCCAAACAATATGACAGGAATACCCAGACAATCTTTCCTTCGCACACTGGTACAGATTATATTAAAACCAGGTCATTATCCTCACCAGCTTCCATACAGCTGGAGCTGTGCTAAGTGGACCCTCTGGAGGGCAGTGTTTGCCTATGACACATCAACCCTGAGTCTAGTGCTGTTTTTATGGTGCACTTCAAAGGGATGAGACTGAAGTTGAAGCAAAGACATCACACTTTTGGCCACTGAAATGCCCTCTTGATTTGATATTGAGCACAGAGGTGAGGCAGAGAGGGGATTTGTCATTAGTCTCATTAGACACAACTTTGTGGACTCAAGTCTTGAAAGGCTCTGACATCTAATAGTGCGTTATAAATTGTTTTGTAATATTTACAATAAAAAATAAATGACGACTAATCATGTGTTTTTAAAGAGTTTCTAGCATTTAACGTGTCAGTACACCTTCTCACACACAATTTAAATCAAAAGAAAAAGAAAATATATACCACAAAAACAAGCACACAGCACACTGCTAAAACTTTGACTCACAAAATGTATGACAGTGCAAACTTACATCCATGTCTCAAATAATTTACAAACATTAGTATACACTTCAGCACCATTGTTTACTATTGTTGTTGAATACATATCAGTAAGCTAGATCGTTAAGTGGAAACTATTAGAGCTGGATGTGCTAATGAGAAAGGGACGGGTAGAAATGGACAGACGATGTTAGGGAGCAATGGGTTGCACGACCAGATTCAAGATGAAGGTTCTGGATGTGTTGAAGAGGGACGATGGGTTTTGTTCAGCTGAGAGATGTTTTTCCCCAGCAACCTTTATATGAAAGGGACTGACGTGTGAATAGGTCGTACTATCTTTTTGGTGTTCACATGGATAACATAAGATCACAGCACACGTTGAGGATGAAAATGTCTGATGTGTGCCGGGCACATCACTTTAGTTTTCAGACCACACATTTAATGATAATCATGCTGTCGTATGATCAACAGAGAGATTCTCTTATGTGTTTACTTTAAAAGCTACAAGTGTACTTAGTCTGACAGAACCAGGCCTTATTTCTTTATTTGGTGAAACCATGCTAAGAGAGAGACTGTTAAATAATATTACAATTAAAAGGAAATAATGGCAGAAAACAATATCACAAAACAAAATAAAGAGTTGCCATCAATACCGCTCTGCACTTACTATAACTTGCCATACCCTGTAACCCAAAGGCAAGCCGTGTATCCTCTCATCTCACATCCATTTATACTCTTTATCAATATGTCTCAGCCCATAAAGCCAATCTTTCATTTCATAGAAAGAAAGTGCCTTTTTCATTTTCCAGAGTTACACCGATGAAATATTCAAAACAAAAGCCATTTTCTGGATACTGATGGGATGCTCAGAGGGTTACATAACACTTTTCTTTAACTGTTTGATTTCAATAATCCTTTTAATAATGTCAAGTTCTACGTCAAGACATTATTTGTACTCTTTAATCTGTTTTGCTCATACTCTCACCATCTTCTACTTGCTCTTAACCTTCACAGAGAGAAAAGAGAAATATCACAATATGTGTTTCCTGTGATGAAACAGGTTGCCTCATGTCTGAATGCCTTTGTCTTTTGCCAGACCAAACTGAAGAGGAACAAATGTCAAGTGATTTTCCTCTCTCACTCGTCTCACGGTATAACCTTCTATCTATCTGAAAATATAGTCACCATAATGTAAAGCTTCGAAGACATGATGAGTTGTTTTCTCTGAAACAAGAAAGTCTCTTTCTTGCATGGTTTCTACCAGAAATGTCTTAAAGTACACTTGGTAATTACAATTTAAAAATCTCTCTAAATATATAAACAATTTAAGGGATTTAATGATTGAATTAAAAATAACATGCCTTGAGGACAAGTGAAAGAAAAAATAATAGTTTACTTAGATAAGAGAAAAAAAAAATTAAAAGAGCTATATATTTTTTTGTTTTTATTAGTAATTATTGTTACCAAGTATAACCTGTATACATAATTTTTATGCTTTTTTTGTTGTTGTTTGGATACTGCAATGGATAACAACTGTTTTAAACGTCTACACAGATCTTCTCAGAGGGCTTGACATCTTAAAGGGGCATTAAACTACCAGGTGGAGCCAGTTTGTGACTTGACCAAAACAAAAAAGCTACTGGTCTACTGGCATCTAATTATGATATAATGTGCAGAAAAGAAAGCAAATATGTGTTGCGTGAAGACATTTAATCCTGTGTGTCTTGGAGTTGACTATGCACTACTAATGCCCTCAGACTAAGCGCTGCCCCCTGGTGTAGTGGAGTTTAGTGGCAGATGTTACGCTTGGTGGGCTGCTGAAGGAAGGTGTTTCTGGCGTGGCCTGCATGGCGAGGGACCTGCTCCCGGGTGCGGTTTTGGCGTTGGATGCGGTTGCGGCCCAGGTGGCGTCGCTCGATGCGGGCTTTGCTACGCTGGACCCTGGCCACTTGGGTGACCTTGGCCAGAGCTCCAGCCTGGGCAGCGGCTCCACGGCTCACCCTGGTAGGCATAGTGCTGCGGGTAGCCGGGGCAGTAGCTGGTTCTGCCACTCTGCTGCAAGGAGAGAGAAAAACATGAAGGTGTGATAGTGATAGTTGTGCTGATGCTGAAAAAGCAGGTAAAGGTCAAGTGTAGCCAGCATAAAGAGTGCTATTTCTCACCTCACGCTGCTCGCCAGGCTGACAATGCTTTCCTCTCCCAACATGGACAGGTTGCTGTTGGAGACCATGGAGAAGTTGCTCGGAGAGACGTACACAGACATGCTGGGGTGCTCGATGAGCAGGTCCTCCATCGGGCTGGCCTCCGCTGTGGCTCCCTCTGCAGTGAAACAGGGGGGAGGGGTGACAAACCAGCTCTCATCCATGCAGCCTCTCTCTTGGCCTGACCTACTGCTACCCCCACTGCGCCCACACTCACTTCCAGAGCCAGGGGACATTGACGGGGTTGAGGAGGGTGTGGACAGCCTGGCCCGTCTCGGCAGGGTCACAGGTGTAGTGGCACCCAAGTCTGAAGGGCTAGCGCTTGGACAAGACCGTGGGTCTGATGGTGCTACTGCACCTCGTGACCGAGCTTTATGTGTTCTACGTCGCTTGATAGACGGGTGGGAAATGGGGGCCAGGCTTTCAGTCCTTGAATTTATGACTTTTTGATTTGATTTGTTACTATCTGGGAATGATTGTGCAATTGATGGTTCTCCCGTCTCATCGTCTGCCTGAATCATGCAGTCAGATTCTTCTGAGGCAGCGATGAGATCGGGGATGAGATGGCCAATAAAGACAGATGTTTGAGGTGGGAAGGGGATGTTGCACAAATGATGCAAATATGGTAGATTTTCAAAAAGCCATGCGGGTTGAAAGGGGACATTTTTAAAGGATCACATACGCACGCACACACATACCAGTGTGGGGAATGTAGGGGTGTTTAAAAAAGAATTGGAGGTGGGGAAGAAGAGGGGGTAAGGAAACACAAAACATAAAAGAGTCACATCATTAGTTGTGTTGACCCTCTAAGGTTGTGATTATGTCAGTGACATAATGTTTGTCTTGAATTTCCTGAGAGCTACTTTTATGTTGCTTTTAATGTTTGAGTGGCTTCTGGAAAGGCCCCAAAGCAAATTTTCATTCTCAATAATTAATTGTCTTTGTCATGATTGAGATCATAAACAAAGAAGAAGGAGATGCATGTTCACAGAGAATTATGTGTTTCCTTCCACTGACAGACAACTCTTTTGGTATGGCAGCCATATGGGTAAGCACCGGTGTATTTGCGTCGCGCCCCTACTGATTCTTCACCTCACCCCATCATCCCCATCAATAATCCTACACTTTAAACATTAGTCCGTATTATTGACATGCAAGAGGGAACATATATATTTTGCTGCTAACTCATAAAACACAATTTGTCTGTTTCCCAGTTTGGTAAGGCTTTACAATCCGGACACTCCACTCCCTGTGCTGATACTCACCAGGCAGGTTGACGAGCATCCATCCCTCCTCGTCGGCCTCTGTCACACAGGGGTTGGGTCCCTTCAGCTCAGCCGCCACTTCTTCTACCTCCCCAAACAACAGGCTGCTCAAACGCTGGAACATGACTGCTTGTTTCGTCAAGTGGTGATGACTCAGGTACTTCTTGTTTGTCAATAAAGAAAAAGCTATAGCTGCCTTATTGAATTTCTTATTTGTGTTTAAGTATCACTTGTTGCTGTTCTAAGCAATACTTTGTTAGATATTTTGAGTCTCTTTTATTTTCCACCTAAAGCCCTTACTGGATCTCGATTTTGACAAGCAGGTTTGAACAGGCTTCTCTAGTGCAAATGTAAGGTTGACTTGGTTTGGAGCGAAGGCCTAGAGAGAGAAAACGAGAGAGAGAGAGAGAGAGAGAGAGAGAGAGAGAGAGAGAGAGAGAGAGAGAGAGAGAGGGTGGTTAGTGGTAATCAGAAGATACATAATGTAATTTACTGTCAACACATTTTCTATAAAAAGACATCTAAAAAAAGAGAAGTCCACTATTGGGTTAATTTCCTGCCACTATGTCAGGGCAGATTAGATAAGTACAATGAGCAATGCTTGTGGTAAGTAACTATTTCAAAATGCTGATCAGAGCAGTGAACCAAAACAGAAGTTTTGGGTGATTAAAATAACAAAACAATGACCTAAAAGATACTCTGTAGAGCTGCGAGGAGTCTGGTCTGGATATAAAATATAGGTTGGTTTTATCAGTATGAGTGCACTGTTTCACATAGTCATTTGACACATTGCCCATATAAAAGAATATTTATTATAGTAGAGGGAAAAAAAGTGAAACACACACAAGTTTGTCTTTAGCTTTGAATTGCAGAAGAACTAGGTAGAAGAATGTGTTCTATAATGAACTAAATTAAATCCGAATGCAAAAGGCTGGTGGACAATGGCTGCACTGCACTCCCCTCCCCCGATAGTAGTTTTAGTTTACATAACCAATCAGCAAAGTCTCAGGACAGATGGACAGGCCAGAGAAGAAGAGGAGGAGGAGGAGGGGAAATTATGTGACACAAAGACCCTGGTTCTCAAAAAGTCAAACAAAGTGAGTGTGCACAATGTGAAAATGCAAAGATACACCAAGACAAAAGGTACTGAGGCAAAGGACAGGTGCCTGACCTAAATGTGAAAATGAGGACATATTGAACAGATGTTTAACAAACATAGCCTAAAAAATAAACATGTAGAAAGTTTGAGTTGTATTTACTTAAACTATGTGAGTGCAGAAGTAATGACTGAAGAGACCGCAGAGAGCAATCCTCTGCTAATAATTGTTGACACACTAGATATATCTTTGCTCTCTTCTGTTTCTTTTTGATAAGCTTATATTTTATATATACATATGAATAATACATTTGTATACTAGTTTCAATGGTGGTTTAAATAGATCATAACCAATTTCAATCCATGATCTCTGACCTATGGTTTGATCTTCCTTTAATTTCTCAAGGAAATCCGATATGTTCTGCAAACATTTAACTATGTCACCAACAACACGAGGCATGACAGAGGTTGGTATTAATGAATGAGCTCAGATTAAAAAGGTGAAACTAAGAGCATGAGATTCTTATAGGGAGTTATGCATGAGTGGCTGTTGCAAAGCAGACACTTTTTTTTTCCTTATTTGGAGAATCAACATGGACACCACACATATAAAAGGGAAGAGACATAATTGCAAGCATACATGACATCCTCCTGAGATTTCTTATGTCAGATGGAATAGGAATATTTTCAACAATCAGTTTCAAGGAGACAGTTTGCATGGGTGTATGCTTGATATAACAAGAGAAAATGAGAATCAAATTAACTTTGACGCGAAAAGCTGCAGATGTAGCCTATTTCCAGAATAAATCATTACGAGCCTTCTGGATAAAAAACATCTCAGCTGTATAAAGATACTATCCAGTAAATTAAATGAAAAGGCCCATGGTTGTTCTCAATTTGGGGAATATTGCAAGGGTAAACCAAAAGATACAAAAACTGTGTCTGAAAATAAGAACTAAAGAAACCAAAGGCATCGGACTACATCAAATCCAGATACACAAAATGTTGGTAAAAAAACCTGAAGACTGCTTTGCATAAGGTGCAGCACACACACACACACACACACACACACACACACACACACACACACACACACACACACACACACACACACACACACACACACACACACACACACAAGGGCTATCTGACAAGTGTAAATATAGCCTTCATACTGCCATTAGAGTACAATAAGCACCACTGATATGGATTATATCCTAGAGGAGGCAGTTCCTGAATATATGGCATAGGTTGCGAAAAAGCATTATCTAACAACTTCCACAAGTTAACACTGATAAATGTCCTTTGAAGTCAAATCTATCACATGTAAAAAAGCAGAAGAATAAATGTGAATTTTTTTAAAAATTTGAATTATAGTCATGACAATGTTAGCATGATAATATGCAAGTCTGGATATATTGCCTTGTCTTTTCTGTCTGGAAAACACTCCCTGTTTTCCCTTAATTGTCCTTAGTAGTGCAACTACAGTATAGTAAGGACACTGTGGAAATAATACATTGTGGATGTCTACATGAGTATCCTGTGCATATGAACTATGCTGTTGTTATTCATGAGACGATTTTATTCTAATATTAGGATGTATTTTTAATATTTGGCACACACACTACAGCAGAGAGATGTTGCCTACATGGTCATCAGGAACAATGACAGGTCATGTTTTGTGTTGTGAATCAAATTTCACACAATAAATATTATTTTACAAGCAGGACATCTATTATACAAAAAAGGACCTTGAAACATGGATCTTTCTTTTGACATTGGCCTTTTAAAAAAAGGCAGGAGGAGCGGAGCAGGGTGGGAGGAGATTCAAGAAATAAAAACAAGACGCCTGTGACGTAATGCACACGTCACTGAAGCCAACAGAGGCTTTTTCAGCAACCGGAGACAAGAAGACATCTGAATAGCAAACATAGCGAGAATAGATTATATAATGGCTGTTTTTATTTGACCTAAATATGTTGTTGTGTGTCATCTGCATTTTGCATCACTTTGCTGAAAACGATCAATATGTGAAAATCTGCTTTTATCGACGGTCATCGTCTGTAGTTGAAACCCATTGACGTTATTAAAAAAAAAAAAACGCTGTCCACAGCAACAATGTTTACATTTGAAACACACAAAAATACCTTAACATTGATGTTACACGATAAAACATAATCTTCGGCCTAAGATTTTCGACAGCTGATCAGCCGAGAGGAGACAGGACTTCTTTAGAGTATCCAGGTTAAACATGAATTATCCGTATAAGCTGTACAGCTAAAGGGTCAAAGCAATGACAGTTGTGGCTCAGCGACAGTGCACGAAATACATCAACTGCATTGGCTTCTCACAATACCACGAAACAGGGTATTTTTTACAAAATATAAAATGAGTGACTATAATTTACAGAGAAAACCTGAGCCTACAAGGTCCGCCTCCCAGAAAAACATCAACATCCGCCATCGAATTTGATTCCACATCAGCATTTGGTGCATTTTCCAAGGAAAAAAAACGGTCGCTGTGATCCTGTAATAAGGCTTATGGCTCACGTATGCAGGTTGATGTATTTTTGGGGTCATAAAATGTCGAATCGACCTAATTTAGCTTGTTTTTTTCTGGGCTGCTGCTTCCTTTAATGTATTCGTGACCTAATAATAGGTCATTCCCTATTATATCACAACAGTCAAAGATAGCATCTTAACGAGTGAGTGTCAGACAATGTTAGTCTACCTGTTTTATGATTTCATGATTTCTGGGGATCTTCAGATTAACATATATGCGGAATGCAGCCACTTCACTGGCAGAGACAAATGTAGCTTGATACCTCTTAAGATCACACATAGCCTAAAACCAACATCAAACAACAATTAAGGAAGAAAAGACAAGCTTACCTGCCTTTGCAATATTATTCAAGTTGTAAACGAGATCTCGAACACAGTAGAAACGATAACAATTCTTAAAGCACAGCTTAAGATCGTCTTTAAGTGAGGTAGTTAAAACACTATTATACAAAAATAAAAGGCTTTCTTCTTAGAAGAAGGGCTTCGTGTAAAAATGTTACACTGATGTTTTCGGATTATAACATCTGCAGCTTTTTCCTCCTCCTCAGTTTTTTTCCGCTGCAGAATTTCCTTCTGTTTATTGCTGCCTCCAGCTGATCCTCGGATCAGAATGTAAAACGTACAAAACAGCTGATTGTGAGATCACAATACGTTGGCCACGCCCCTTTCTCCGCCCACCTCAAGAAAAACAGCCAATCAGAATATTACACAAGCCACAAGCCGGTCCTCTCTAGGTAACAGGGTGGGGGCTGGGCAAAAGAGCTGTCAACCTGCACCCAGATGGAAAGGGTGACTTTTCACAGAGACTGATCCATGATCAGCTTCTGCTTTCACCATCCCTGCTGTTTGGAATCCCGGCTGGGGGATGGTAAACTGATCCTGAGTCTGTGCTCACATAGCTGCTAATACAAGCCATCTGTAACAGGGAATTATGAAGATCTGTTGATAGAAAAGTGGTTACATTTTCAAATTGGTGCTGAGTTCAGCTAGAGAAAAAGAGAGCACAGAGCTGATCTGTTGCTGTTGATCTGACTGTAAAAAAACAAACAAGTTGCAACCAACCTGTTATATCACCTCCTGAATAGACATTGGACTGCAAACTGGATAAATGTATCTTTGTGACGTACATGTTACCTCATGGATGTTTTTTTTTCATCTTTTAATTTCAGTTTTTTTTAAACATGGTAAAAATGAAAAAGACAGGGTAACCTCATCATCTAATTGTGTCCTCTTGTGGCAGAGTTAGAAAACAAATCCTGTCAACCATGAAATCCTGTATTGATATTTAAAATTAAATAGGTGGACTACACACACCATATCAGTTTTGATGACCAGTGATCCTGGAGATGTTACTAACACTTTTCGTTTGTAAACAGAGCTCTTTCCCCTCCCCCTCCACATAATTTTTTTCACTCACCCTGTGGGTGGGACCTCGATGTGCCAGTCAATCTTGTCAGCCAATAAGACGTGTTTTTCTGAATGCAGCATTTGAGTAACCAATAGGATGCAGAGATGCTTTGAAACCCCCTGGTGGTCACTTTCATAATCTGCAGTCAGCTTTGAGAATACCCACTGCCTTTTATTATTGCAGACAATAAAAGGCAGTGGACAGCACATAAATTGTGTTAAATAATGACTGTGAACATAATTGTGTATTTGTGTGGGAAGTGTGCTTTATGAGGGTTCTGGGCCAATACTCACAGTTTGGATGGGTTTATGAACACACATGCATGAGTTTGTTTGTATGGCTATGTACAAGTTTATATATGGTTGTAACATGCTGACAGTGGTTATTGTGGAAGATGGAATTCTTTAAGTAAAACTTGGAGCAATCGACACAATTTATAGCTTAAGCTTAATGAGTCACTCAGGTTTTACACAAACATAACTCTTCACTGTACAGAGGTTTTGGATATCCCCCATGACAACTGGAACTCTGCCCAATAGGGGTTATTCTGAAACTATTGACAATATCCATTTTATACAACTGCATGCATATTGTAGTATACCAAATGTAAGTAAAACCTACTGTACATTAACCTCAAATAAGGTTGTGTACCAAAAATGGTTTCAGGACCATGCATTGAACTTGGTTTACAGAGTGTTATGTCATAATGGAAATGCAAATGAACTCGGGAGTGGTCTGGCCTCTTTGACTGTTTTGAGCACGATTTGCACACAAATATATTCCAACTAACAGAGATCTATCTCCAGATGTGTCTCGTGCTTCTCTAAGCTACTTTTTCTGCCATACACTTTGCCATCATATTACCTCAGTGGTGAGTGACGATAGCAAAAGTCCGGCACAGCACGAACTCTCTAAAGGCAAGACGATAAGGTTTCGGCTATTCAGTTACCAGGTGCTAGGCAACTCATACACACACAAACACATGTAGACACAAGCACACACAATCACCCTGCAGCGATGATGATATGTAAACCCCAGTATCATAGTGAACACAAACATTTAACAAGAACAGTTGGTGCATCTCTGCTTGTGTTAAAGTTTGTGTTCTCAAACGAGTCAGAAGAAGTCGCAGGCCTGGTGGAACTTGTTATGTCATGTTCTTGTCTTCATGTCAGGTTGTGATGCACAATGCATACAATCCAAAATGTGTGTAGTCTTTATCCTTAATTTCCCTAATGGATGGGATCACAACCTTGCATTCACGAATAAAAGCTGAAGAGGTTGTGGTTTTCCATTGTGTAACTTCCTTTTCTTTCTTTAAATCCATCCCAGAGCTTTCACTGAATTTGCCTGCTTCACAGACTTCCCACAGCTGCATGGAGAAATAGGTGAAAGGTCACAACAATCTCTCCCCCTCTCTCTCTTTCCCTCTCTTGCTCCCCCTTCTCTCTACTGTGTATGTTCATATTTATGAATGTGACGTGCGGCTCTTGTTTGACAGCATGCCTGTCCTTGCCCCAACTCAAACAGCTGACTGAGGCATGTGAGTAAATGTAGAGTGCTTTGAATAACTCAAACCTTGAGTTGTAAACACTGCTATTTTGTCTGAGGTTAAAAAACTGAGCTGTGGCGATGAACAAGTTGAATCAGAAGTCCAGCTTGTTGCATGTGCGCTCCGGCTTAAAACTGACATTAGATATATAGCTTAACTATCGGAAGGATAGTAAAGATACTCATCCTATATGACCTTATTGACCTTTTCTTTACATTTTGGGGCCTCTCTCTCTTCTCTCAGGCCTCTCTTAGCCTCTGCTTTGCTTGCTGCTGGTAGATGATAAGACAGCAGCCCCAGAAGATACTAGTTCAGACCTGCCAAAAAATAGTTACCATTTAACTCCCCGTATAACCCAATTTATAAATGTTAGAAGTTAAGGCCTTCTTCCTATTTCCAGTCTTTATACCCTGTTTGCTTAAGCCTGCTTCTGTAGATACACTCTTTACAACATCAGGAGGATACGTCCCCAGCTGACCCAGAAAGCGACTCAGGTTCTGGTCCAGGCTTTTGTCATCTCACGCCTTGACTATTTGCAACTCCCTCCTGGCTGGTCTGCCTGCATGTGCCACCCGACCTCTGCAGCTCATCCAGAATGCAGCGGCTCGTCTGGTCTTCAACCTTCCTAAATTCTCCCACACCACGCCGCTCCTCCGCTCCCTTCACTGGCTTCCAGTAACTGCTAGAATCCACTTCAAGACACTGGTACTAGCGTACCATGCTGCGAATGGATCAGGCCCTTCCTACATCCAGGACATGGTTAAACCACACACCTAGCACGTGCACTCCGTGCTTCATCAGCCAAACAGCTCGCTGCACCCGCACTGCGAGGGGGACCCAAGTTCCCATCAGCAAAAACACGTGGGTTTTCTATCCTGGCTCCAAAATGGTGGAATGAGCTCCCCATTGAAATCAGGACAGCAGAAAGCTTGCACATCTTCCGGCGCAGACTAAAAACTCATCTCTTTCGACTCCACTTCGAGCGATAGAATTATTAACAAAGCACTTATATACTAATAAAGGACTGGCTTATCTAAAGCGTAGCACTTGAAATGTTTTAGCTCTATGAAACCTGATGTACTTACTGTATATGATTCTGTTTTCTTCAAGTTTGTATTTTGTTGGTCGAACGCACTTATTGTAAGTCGCTTTGGATAAAAGCGTCAGCTAAATGCAATGTAATGTAATGTAATGATGCACAACAAGAAAATCTATATGCTTGTCTAAGTCTAAGCATGAAGCGAATAAGATAATTTCTCCGAATGTCATACCATTACATCTCCAAAATCCACACTTTGATAGGCATCATGCACCAAACACTGAAAAACCTGTTCCATAGAAAATATCCAGATTTAGAGATCTCATGGAGGAGTATAGAAAAAAACTAAAAACTAAGATCATCAATCATATGCTGATAATTCGAGCCAAAAAGATTGGTAGTTTATCAATGAGTTAATTGACATAAAATGTATAGGTTACTATTTCCATAATCGATTAACCACTTTAAGACGCATTTTAAGAAAAAAACAGAAACTGGTTTCAGCCTCTCAATTTTGACGATTGTCTGCTTTGCTTGGTTCTTTGATGGGAAAATTCAATATTGTTGGGACTTTGGACTGTTGGTTGGACATATCAAACATTTTCGATGTGTCAACTTGTTTTTTAGGGAAATTGCAAAATGGTTCTTGGTCATTTTTGTAGACATTTTCTAAACCAATTGATGAACATGAGTTGAGAACATAATCTTCAAATACAAATTCCGAAAGGCATGGTATATGAAGTTGTAAAAGCTATAGCTCAACCATAGAAATGCATCAGTATTATTGATTTAATAATGCAATAAATAATTATCTCTCCAAGTGGACATTTCAACAAGTAATTTCATATTTATACTCTGTATATTTTGCAGTTCATACTCATATAGACAGTGTTAAACTGTCATTAGCTTTGGTATATTTACTTATTTCTACCCTTGTCACTCCCATTTGGCACTGTCCACTGAAACGTCTGTGGCCTCAGATAAGGAATTTCTTCCTGCATCTCATATTGCAGCCTGTCTGTACATCCTTCCCCTCCAGTAGTCTACAGCCCCTAAGTAACCCCCCTCCACATACTTGTCAACTCTTCCTTACTCAGCACAGACTCAACATGTGGGTTCCTGTCACCAATCCAAATCCACACAACAATAACAGCACAGATAGAAACCAGCGTACCTCCCTCTGCCTGGGGGACCCCTCTGCAGGCTGGTGCATTTCCTGCAGACAGAGGCAGAGCAGACGCTGAGAAGGTGTTCTCTACTTCCTTCTTTCTTGTTCCTTTCATCATCCCTATTAAAGACTTCATGCCATGCGCGCATCCCATGGGTCTGTCCCTAGAAGGCTTAAGCAAACAGGGGCTGAAAGTGGTGTCCTTGGCAAGAGTGTGCTGATAAACACGGCATGAGAGAGGACATGCCGTGCTCTCCAGAGGGGGACGACAGACCCTAATTCAGGCTGCCCTGGAGGATATTATAAAACTGAACGAGGGAGGTTATTTTAAATTCTGAAAAGGATTAAGGTATATTGGCTGAAGAGGAAGTTTGGGCCTCTTTTGTCCGTCTGAAATATTGTGCTCATGTATATTCTCTCATTGTTTTATGACCTTGGTGGTCCACATCCC